AACTTGGAGAGCCAAATTTGAATTCCAGTCGAGTTTGTTAGATTTACTTGCGCATAAATACCCTTGGGAAAGGTATGAATCCATCTCTTCTCCCCCAGCTATGGGTTGAATAGCAGAACAGACTAGATTCTTTAGCCTTGGTTGGCAGCCAGTCTACTGCAGAAAGAAATGGCAACATACTGTGGGAAAAAATCTGCCCTGTCAGTCACGAATTGAAAGATACGTGATCACCCAAGCATGTATCACATAATATACTTAACTGACTGATATTTGTTCTAAAAGCAACTAATTTCTGCTAGTAAAATAAATTTTTACTTGTCACAAACAGTGGGGAAATTTTATTAAATAGAGCACACGTGTGCAGTAAGCCATCCACACACACAAACACACTTTAGTGTTTCTTTTTAAACTGGTGAATGGAACCTGAATAAAAAAAAAAATGAAGGTTGAAGGACTTAAATTTAGATATTTGTATTATTGATCTCAAAATGTAGAAAACATTAAACTCTAATTGCAAGAAAACATTTTGCTTTAAGAAAAAAAAAAAAAAAAAATTTTTTTTTCTGTTAATTTTTAGTTAAAAAAATTGAATGGACCATTAACATCTGTGTTGTGCTTTCTGCTTATGGACTAAATTGAAAATACAAGAGAATTTAAAAAAATGATAAACATGGAAAATTTAGTCACAATATAAGGTAAGTAATTGTGAATGAAATTATTTTGATAAAAAACTTGATTGCAAATGTTGGAATGCACTAATATTCTTCATACAGAGCATAAATGCACAGAGTACAATTTTGTAAATACGGATGACAGTTACTACTTACATTAAAAACAAACTTCAAAATAGTGGCTGATCACAGTTTAAAGATTGAATGAATAAAAAAAATACCCCTCAACATTTTAATAGTGCTTTTATCATGCTACAAACAGCTTTAAAGTAATAATAATAATTAAAAAAAAAAAAAAAAAAAAATTGACTTCAGGCAGATTAAAAAAAATTGTGGTGGTGGTGGTGGTGGTGGTAGATACTGGTGGAAAAAGTCTGAAGCTCTGATTCAAAGTCATGTAATTTTTAACAAGCAAAGGAATCTTGAGTACCTAACCTTTAGATATACTGGCACAGATCTCAATAATAATGTTAGATATTACTTAGAGACAATTCTTTTCAAGATAGTGGTTTTAAGCCTTAAGATTAGGACTTAAATTTGTCATTTGATTTTCTTTGACTGAACCAGCATAGCTTTTTAGTTTAGGATGATCACATTTTAATGTCAACATATGAACAAAGAATTCGATTCAGATAGTTGTGTTTGTGAATGAAGTCAGTTTTCTTAAGACAAATCTTTTCAACTGGACCAATGGAAAAGAACAAAAACCTTACATGGTCAATATAATGGGTAACTCAAATAACATACTTGGACCTCACTAAAAATTTGACATGGTTAATGCATAAGCAAAAAAGACAACTTACCTTGATGTAATTAGCAACAATGGAGACATTCTTAAAATCAAGTGCTGCATCAATTTCATCCATTACATAAAGTGGGGTAGGCTTGAAGTGATGCAATGCAAATACCAGAGCCAGAGAACTGAGGGTCTTCTCACCACCAGAAAGGTTAGAGATATTTTTCCAAGACTTTTTTGGTGGTCGTACACTATCAAAAAAAAGAAAAAAAAAGTTTTTATTTTCTTGCTTTGGATTTTAAGTAGTTCCAAGCATCAGCCTATTTTCCATTTATAATGATAATGCATTAGAAATGCTAGAAAGGAAAATATTCTGTTGCAAACAAATGATCGTTTATCACCTTTAATAGTATGTCAGACAATCAGCATAGTAGAACAAAAGTAATAAAATAAAAACTTGTATTTATGCAAAAAAGTGATCAATACAGGCTGAGTTAGAGATTCAAATTGGAAATTGACCTATGGTTGATTATGATAATCTAACAATATCTTCGGGGGAGAAGTAAATTGACAAGTCAGCCTAACACTTTGGATGTGTTCAGAGTTTTATGCAAAACAGAGTTGGAGATCAGGTAAAAAAAAAACAAAAAAAAAAAAAACATTCATCAAAAATTATATTTTGGCCAGAAAAAAGAAAATAATTTTGGCAAAAAAGCAAGCAAGATAAAATGAATAAACAAAGTAAATAATAGTTAAAATAATCAACAAGTAGTTATTTAGAAATGCAAGTTGAGACTATCTGAATTATGGTTTAATGATTAATTACCATTGATAGCATTATATTCATTCAAGATTGGGAATAGCTTTAAAGAAACCGGTCATCATTCAAATTTTTTGGCATACTTTTTACCAAGATGATGCACTCTTCATGTAAAAACCAATTCCTTCAGCAAATCTTGCTTATGAAAAACATTAGAAATAATCTTTATTCTCAGATTCTTTAGTTTCTATTCAAACAGCATTCAGTAAAATAATCCACTTCTTTAAATAAAGAATGTTGGCAGTTTCTTTGACTTGGGCCATTTTTGCTCAGATTAGAAAACAATTATATGACACATCAAAAATACCGGGGACATCAAAGAGTCAGACTGATACCTGCAAAATCTGTATGTACCAGGATCTAATTACTCCCACTGTAATTCGAACTCTTGCAAAATGCTATTGATGAACAGAAACTAAAGCAGCATTTGATCTTGTTGACATTCATGGAGAGAGAAAGGATAACAGTGACAAGAGGAGAGGAAACAACAATCAATATAAAGTTTATTGTTAACATGTCGGTTATGATATGAAAGAGAGAAAGCAAAGGCAAAAGAGAGTAAGGTGGTAATAAACAAGACAGTGACATGACCTCTATATCAAGTAAAACATAAAAATTCCATATTCAAAAATGGTCATAAACTGACTGTTAATGTTTGTCCTCCCAACCCTTGTTAAACTCTTCATCATTTTTTGAGGCCTTCATGAAAGTGGTCATGTGTCAATGTGGTTAAATTTAATAAATATCTTTGCAATGTTTCCTTGATTAAAAGTTTCTACAATCACTAATCTTTTTTTGGTTTGTATAGAATGTCAAATTCTGTGTTCTTCTGTGATGGTAAATTTCAATTTTCCATTTTTATTTCAAAATCATAAAAACACGTGAAAAACAAAGACCTGTGTGTAAACAGTAAAATATACAAAATAGCCTACTTATTTAGGCATCTTTATTTTTTTTGTGCTTCAGCAATTTCTGATGATCCAAAAGCATGTTTCTCTAAGTCCAATCTATGGTGTGTTGACAAAAACTACAAAATAATTAATTGCCATCATGATAAAAATCATCATGGAAAGCTGACTCTTCAGCTCTGTATTTTGCTGAAAGTATGCACCCACCAATTTTGCTAGCTTTTTATTTACCTCAACATGAAAAATAATCAAACCAGCATTTAAAAATCTAATACTAAACATACAACTTTTATTTTTTACTACCCTTGACAGATCTGATTTTCACAATAACTTTTTTTCTTTCTCTCACTATATTTTACTTTTTTTATTTGGATTTTATTTTTTAGTAGCAAAAATCCCATTTTCTGTATCATGGAGAATTTGCCACTCTAGTTTAGTATCTTTTGTTTGTATGGACATGAAAAACTTTTGTCTAAGTGTTTTAAGTGAAACCAAAACCAGGCATATTGGTACATCTTAAGGTGTGAATTGGGCAACTTGTGCAGCCAAACTATCTCCAAATGTAAATGCTCTGTATTCTTTTGAATCCTGTTAGTACCTTAAAGTACTGACAGGATCCAAAAGAATACAGGGCATTTACATTTGGGGATAGTTTGGCTGCACAAGTTGCTGGAAAGATGTCAGTATTTTTTTATTTCCTTTGAGGTGCCACTCCAGGTTTTCTGTCTGGATTTACTCCCATAGACTTTTCTGTATTTAGATATGGCCGCAAAGCAGTGGAGGTTTAAAATCAGATTTCTGGAATTACTATCCCACTAAAAAATTAAATCTGTGCAATGGAGGTTACTGCAAAACCCATTAACAAATTCAAATATAACCTCAAAACAGTGAAACATTCAAATGCTCTAAAGACCTTTCAAAATATTACTTCAGAGATTAGAACAAAACTAGAAAGTCAGGCTTCTGTCTGAATAAAATCTAATTTTGCAGAGCAGGAAATCTTTTGAAATTATATTCTTCTCAAAAGCAGAGTGTTTTCAATATAGCTGATTTCTAACAAAAAAAAAAAAAATCACCTGTACCATATAAGATTCCAGTGTTTGCAGCTTGTAAAAAGATCTAGTGATCACACACATTGTATTAACAGAGAATTTGAATGCTTAAATGGGGAATGATGATAGCAGGAGACTGTGAAAAAAGGAAAGAAACTAAAGCCACTTCAAAGCCAATGACTTAAGAAATGTCAAGAGATTAATAAATTTAAAATGTTTTGGGTAAAATTAAAAACTGTAAAATTTATTCTCAAGTAAATATGATAGAAAAAAAATAAAAATCTCCCACAGCTTGTTGATAATATGAGTACTATTTTATAAAATTTATTTTTAAAAGATGTGTATTATTAATGTGGTATTAAAGGACAGAGACAAAACTCAGAACAAAAGTTAGGAAAACAAAATTCCATAACAATCAGAAAAAATATTGCTAAAATCAAATTTAATCATCTATAACTGGAGAATGTAAATTTTGTTTAAGGAGAAAATTTGTTCATATAATCAACATCTTTGTAAAACTTTAATTGAACCCAGAGTTTGATATACAATTATACTTAAAAAATGATTAGTTCCTTAAACAATTCAAAAACATTTTCAGGAAACTAAAAGTAATTCAGGAATATAACTAAAAATTAGAACTGAATACAATTTACCCAATTTTTCTTGGATAGACCATAATTACTACTGTTTTAATTATGAAAATCTTAATCTTTTCAGTCTCGAGTGGAGTTGAAAAATTTGCTTTATAGAATTGTTCCATTAATTCAATAAAACTATTTTTTCCAAATCTATTTTGAGTGATATGGTCTTATTATACAGGAAAATTTGAAGATGTCTACTCAAAAGATTTGGGCTTGTGTATCACAAAGTTAGTTTTCAATTTAGTGTAGTTTGTGGGGAGGCAAAATAATTTAAATATGGTAATTAGAATAAGAAATGCATTGTTGAGATTCAAAACGAGACCCAATTATGAGTTAACCAATAAAATTGATTATGAGCATATGTGAGTCTTTTTTGGAGCCCTACAGTGTTGTTTCCTGGAAAAGAGTGGGACTAAAAAAAAAAAAAAAAAAAGAGCTCTTCATAGCTTGCAGCTCTAGTAGATAGATATCTTTGAAAGTACATGAAGCCCAAGCAATAATTCAATGAAGAACAAAGTTTAGATTGGCTGATAAACTGTCAGAAATCTTGACATTTGTTTACATCATTTCACAAACAGCAAAGATTTTTTTAAATATAAAAATAACCCGACATTACAGACTTACACCACCATAAAACCTCAAACAAAAATCACTTTCACTTTCCTTGCCCTAGCATTGTATTAGTGGAGTATATGGCTAACTCCACAGAACAGCTCACTAGTAACAAAAGTTGTCTCTCACCTGAAGACAATGCCCTCTGAGAATGGATCAAGAGAATCAACCAATTCAAGTTCTGCATCTCCTCCCAGTGTGATCATCTGGTACATCTCTTTGAGCTTGTTGGTTATAACACTGAAGCCACACATGAATTCATCTAAACGTTGTTTTCTTAAATCTTCAAACATCTGCTTCTGTTGATCACGGCATTCAGTGATGCGGTCCATTTCAGTTACACGCTCTAAATAAAGTGCTTCCTAAACAAAGGAAAAAAAATAATTTAACTAAGAAATTATGTTCAATACAAACACTGATGTTTCTTTTACCTTTTTGTAAAATGTTAGCAATATTATTTCACACTGCTTGGCTCAAAATAACTTTCACAATTATTAACTTTTGTTGAATTTTTCAAAACTAAAATATCACACATTAAGGAGTCAAACAAGAAATTATATTCTTTGAATTTTTTTTTTTTAACTTCAAAGTAACTTCATATTTTGTAAATAATAAAAAACAAAAACAGGTTTTATCTTTGACCTAACACCCTTCACAAATTCTCAATGTATCTTGTAATTCATTTGAGAAATGTTTGCTTCTTTAATGTAATGTTTAAAAGTAAACTTTATTTACTTAAAAAAATCTAAATTCCCCTCCAAAATAAAATTATTTTTCAAATTAAGGCTCACTATAGTCTTTGCTTGAAAAAAAAAAAAAAAAAATGATTAAATTAAGTGTATTTAAATATCTTAATTTAAGTTTTACTTTTTTATCAATAATAATTTAAAAAAAGTTAATGAACTTTTATCTAAGTTTGATAACATTAACAGAGTATTTATGTTAGTATTTAAATCAAAAAATAATTCTTTTTGTATAAAAATATGGGGGATGCTCAGCCCCCTGTCCCCAAGCATAGTATTAGCAGTGTGGTATTTTCCTAAATTTAGTTATTTTATAACAGATAAAAAAAAACAAAAAAAACAAAAAAAAAAACAATGAAGTTTATTTTTTAAAGATTGAATAAAAAATTATTTTCCATAAGATGGCTGAAAAATATCAATAAAATGCCAATAATAAACTATGACTCAGAGAAGTATCCCTACTAGCAAACTATATATAAATATATAACTCAAACAAAAGCAACATAAACATACACAATTCAAGAATATATTTAATGAAATCATTAAATTAACAACCATGATAGTAAAAAAAAAAACTATTTCAGAATCAATCAATGTTGATTGCCAACAAATCTGGTTTACCTTTTTTCTGTATTCATTTATAGCAGTAAGGTTTGGCTTCATTTTGTTCAGTTTTTCTTCAAGGACTGTGATCTCATATTCCAAATTCTTTGGATCATCTTTCTCAAGATCCTCTGGTTTGAATGTTTCCAGTTCAGGAGGTTCTTCTTTGCCAATTTTATGTAATGTCAATTGTGTAAGCTGAAGCACGAGAGAAAGACATTATCACTAGCTAACAATATTTGCATATATTGTCTTTAAATTTAATACTGATAAAAAATGGTATAAAATAAGATCAAGCTTTAATAATATTAAAGTTATTTAAAATCTTTGTATAATTGTTTTAATTGGTTAAATGACAGCAAAAGATTTACATTAATAAAACAAAGCTCAAGTATCAGAATGTAAAAAAAAATTCAATTATACAATTGCAGGTTTGGAAGACTTATTCTATATAAATGTTATACCTATATTTTTAAGAAAAAAATATATTAATTCAAATTATTTTCTAATTTGGTTTCTTTTAATAACATTTTACTATTTTCAGCCTAATTAACTTTGGACAAAAAATATGAGTTTCTCATTCACAATATTTTAAGAAAAAATAAATTTAACTTCAATCAGAAAAAAATTTTCCTATATTTTGACAGCATGTTTTCATTAAGACATATCTGATTAAATAATTCAGACAAGTTTTGTCTGCTTATTTTTAATTAGATCCTCTCATAATTATGGACAAATTTCTTAGTACAGTGTAACCCGGATATAAGAGAGTTGTCGGGACCGGAGAAGAAGTCTCTTATATCCGGGTTTCTCTTATATCCAGGTTTGGTCTAATTTATATACATTAACACAGGCTCTAATTTGGGACCAGAGAAAATCTCTTTTATATCAGGGTTTCTCTTATATCCGGGTTATATTCCGAGTACTTTTAACATTAGCACAATGGTGTCATATTATTAAAAATAAGTAGATAAAACTTGTCTAAATTATTTAATGAGATGTATATCATAAAGAAATAATTTGAAAAAAAAAAAAATAAATAAATAAATAAATTAGTAGGCATCCATTTATCACACAAGATAATGGTAGCAATCTATTTGGTCAAAATTCAGTCCTTTGGTGGTGAGATAGGAGTGACTTCTCCAGAGCACAGACCTCGGTGATACTATATGGAGGCCACACACTGCTTAGACCACATGATCCCACCCTCTTGTTTGTACCAAAGGAATACAGTGCATTACATTTGGGGTCAAGTTGGCTGTAGCAGTTGCCATAAGGTTATCAGTGTTGACAGACAACTGCCTTCAGGAATCCTGTCTAGATTTACTTCCAACATTTTCCATGTTTAGATAGGGCCACAAGGTAGTGGAGGTTTAAAACCACTTGCTTTCGTCTAAATGGACTACCTTCCCAGTTTGACAAGCTCCATCTACCCAAAGCAGCTAGTTATGAAGCACCAGTTGTCTGCCTTCACCGATTTCTCTGGCTTGGAATGGGACTTAGTCGTTATAGACTATCCAAGATGCATTCCATAGTATTTTGTAGACAGTGGGAACTTGTTCCCACTACCACCCTTTGGAACATATATAATATACATATGTAAATATTACATGTTTTAGAAGCTGCCCTCAAATTGTTTTTTTTTTCCAAATATGTTAGATAAACAAAAACACTAGAAAGTAAGAAAAATTACAAAAGAGTTGTACATAAATAAACAAACAAATATCAAAACGTTGCTAACTGAGGTAAAATAGAGCTGGAAGAAAAAATAAAATTCAAGGATTCAAGCCTAAAATACTTGGAGTAATTATATTGCATATAAAATGAAAACAAGCTTAGTTTCATGTGACTATTCTCAAGAAATTACATAATGCACTAACACAAAGTCTTTTATATATAGATACAGATTTAAGTTTACCACTGAAATCCTTAAAAAAAAAAAAAAAAAAAAAAAAATGTTTGGTCAAATTTTAGGTCAAGAACTTTTCAGCATCCCCAACATATATCTGATCTGTAAGAGTTAAGAGGGGCTTCATTCCAATTTGTTTCTTTTTTCAAAAATAAAAATCCTATAGCTTTTTTAATTAAAACATCTTTTCACAAAAATAATGAAAGCCATTTGCAGCTTGATTAATTATTGAATTAATAATATATTAAGCAAGGTTTTCATGTATCTAAAATGCATGTATAAATGTTCAAGCTGGCCTAAAGGAACAATAAGAAATAATGAAATAAGGTAAAAAATAAATAAAATACAAATAATGAAGTTTAAAAAATAAAATAATTAGCATATATTTGGATATTCAAACCTGGAATTAACCCAGGCTTTACCGTTGTTATAAATGTGTAAATAACACTTCATTCCTCAAAGATCTGGCCAGGTTTACAAATGGGTTTGCATTTATAACAGGTTATAGGTTTCATTATATACATTAATTTAGGCAGGCTTCAAAAAAATTCAAAATTGAGGAAAAGTAAAAGATGAAATCCAAATCTAAAATTCAGCTAAGCATTTACTCCCCCCCCCATACAATTATAAAATACAAAAAAGGAAAATAGTTCCAGAGACAGCTGATAATTGTTATCAAAAAGGTTTCATTTGTTAGATCATTATCTGGATTATGAGGTTTTTTGAGAAAGTATAGAATAATCAGCTGCACACTGTAGGCCAGTTGTTATTGATTAATATATTCAGAACCACAGACCAGTCAGACTGCCTTCCAGATTTACATGTGTACACTTCATTCATCTGTGTGGAAAGATGATCCTGCAACTGGAGAAGATCTCCACTGTGTCTTGCTAACATAGAACTAAACTCCTTCAGGTAATATGAATACAGCTCTTCATGTAGTAAATCTTTTAGAAAAGAAGTCACAGAAACTACATTCATTCACATATCTTATATTTAAGTAGTAATAAATCTATTTAGATCTTAATAAGAAATGATAAGGATTCCTTCCAGCTTAATGTTTTTTCATCCTTCTCAGCAAATAATTAATTCAATACATCCTTCAAACCATGCCACAAAAATAAGGAAAATTAAAATGATGCATAACGCATCCTAAAGAGGCAAGAATGAGATAATAAACATGCAATCTTTATAATAATAATAATAATAAAAAAAAAAAATACCTAATTTCCCTCAACTTTTCTTTACGATAAAGGAGGGAGGGGGAGGAGGAGGGGGAGGGAGGGAGGGGGAGGAGGGGGAGGAGGAGGAGGAAGGGAGGGAGAGGGAGGAGGGGAGAAAGGAGGGAGGGAGAGAAAGGGAGGAGGGAGAGAAAGGAGGGAGGGAGAAAGGGAGGGAGGGAGAGAAAGGGAGGAGGGAGGAGAAAGGAGGAGGGAGAGAAAGGGAGGAGGGAGAGAAAGGGAGGGAGGGAGAGAAAGGGAGGAGGGAGAGAAAGGGAGGGAGGGAGAGAAAGGGAGGGAGGGAGAGAAAGGGAGGGAGGGAGAGAAAGGGAGGAGGGAGAGAAAGGGAGGGAGGGGAGAGAGAAAAGGAGGAGGGAGAAAAGGAGGAGGGAGAGAAAGGGAGGAGGAGAGAAAAGGAAAAAAAAGAAAAAATAAAGAAACAAGAGAAAATAACAAGTGAGAAATAAAAAGAAGTTAATGTCAAAATGTGGAGAACATGGGTGACTAAACAATCACTGAAAATAAATGTGATTAAAAAAAAAGTCAAGATAATAATGATGCAAAAGTGTCTTACCTGCTTTTTCCAATGTTTTATTTTAACTAAATTTGTTTTCACAACATCTTCATATTTTTCTATTTTGTGTTGCAGTTCCAGCCTATCTTTTGACATACAAGTTTCTTTTTCTTCAATTTGTGCAATTTCCTCCTTGACACCTTGTAACATGTCCTCATGGGACTTGATCTTTTCCTAAAGAAAATGCAACTGTTTTAGATTTTCTTTAAACAACATTCCCCAGCAAAGTTTGCGCTCTACAAAACTGTAATCTCATAAAAATAGTTTTAGTATCTGAAATATTGCAGCAGTTTCTTACAAATTTAAATGCTCAGATCTGGAATAAATATATATCATACTTATAACAATAAATATCTTGATTAAATACTAATACTGATTTTTTCCTTTTTATCCTTAGATATTTAATTCAGTAGAATTTCTTTGCTACTGGCATAGTAACATGATTAACTTAACCCCCTAACACTACCAAAAAAAAACAAAACAAAAAAAAAACAACAAAACCAAGGTTTTCCCAAACCAGGAGCTACATGGCAATTAATATAGATGGATTACTTATATTCATAATCCCTTTACTCTGAGTACTAGTACAAACTAAATCAAAAATCAACAGCCCCACTTTTCTTAAATCAAAATGAAAAAAATTACTATCTATAAATTATGTTGTTTATGTATTTCAAGATGCAAAACTTTGTACTTACTTTGACATCTTTGTGAGCATCCAAAACTTCTCTTGCATCAACTTCAAGTTGTTTAAACATTGTTTGAAGTTCTTGAATTTTCTTTGATGCTTCTTCTTGTTCTCGTTCAGAGGTTTTCAACTTGTCCAGAGCTTTTTTCAAATTCCTGCACATAAGTTAAATTTCAAGAAAATATTGAAAATAAAACACCACAAATATACAAATGGTTTCTGCTATCATTTCTAAAGTAGATCCCCAAACAAGGCATGTGGACTCAACACTATCCCTAGCCTTCCTACAGAAAGGTGCTCCTGTTCTCTCCAAACTTTACAATAAATGCCTCACTGATTCTTGCCTTCTAGCTGGTTGGAAAGCCACCTCTGTAGCTCCTGTTTTAAGAACTCCAGGGAACTTTCTGACAACTCAAATTATTGCCCTATTATATCTCTTACCTCTTTTTGACAAAGTACTCAAGGCCCTAATCAACACCAGATTGATTTAGCATCTTACTTCACATGGCCTCCTTTCAGAGAAACAATATGGTTTTCGTTGTCAGGTTTACCGCTTATGTGTTAATGGCCATCACTGAAATTGTCTATCAAGCTTTAAATGAGAATGGCAATGCTCGAGCTGTGGCTCTAGATAACTCAAAGTCGTTCAACAAAGTTTGGCATAATGGCCTTCTACACAAAGCTACAGTATCTCTAAATGAATATTTGGCTTAATCCAATCATTCCTAACAAATCATGTAATGAAGGTTGTATTGGACAGGCACACATCTAAATCATTTTATTTTAATACAGGGGTCACCCAGGGCTCTATCCTTGAACCTACACAGTTTCTGATCTTCATCAACGACCATCCTGATGTCAACATTTCCCAACTAGGTATTTTTACAGATGCAACTATTTACTCCTGTTTTAGTAACAAATCCGTCAGATCCAACAAAGTAAATCTGGCAACTACTCTTGAAAAGGACCTCCAATCTGGGACAAGAAATGGCCTGTAAATTTTAACACCTCCAAAGCAAAACTGTTTTCATTTAATCACCACAAAGAACGTTTTTCTGTCTGTCATTTTTTTGTCAGAATCCACCTTGCACATTTAAATTTATTAAAAACTACCATTTGTCTGTGCATTTAATATTGCTGCCCTAACTGGTCTGATGCTTTTACCATATATATTGAGATTCTTGACAAAATTCAATATAATTGATCCTGACTTGGCACTTGACTTCAGTTACTTTCTCACCATAGTGTCCCCGTCTTTTCTACAAATATTTTCATGGGAACTATTCTGATGAGCTTTTTTCCTTAGTGCCTCAACTGCATGAATTCAAACAGTGTTACTAGATCTCACCATTTTACTGAAAGTTTTTCAAGTGCTGACATGACTTGCCAGAGATGGAAAATTTCAGAAAGCAACATGATTATTGCATTGCAGTGTTACAAATAAAATGCTGACTTTCCCATTTTCATTGCATTTAACTGTAATCAGAATCCAAGTTTTGTTTTTATACAAATACTGTACCTTTATGTATTGTAACATTTTAATCAAAACATGACATCGTTGGAAGAGACTGATACCTTTTCCCTTCTCATACTCACACTGATGTCATCAATCATGTAACCCCTCCCTTCAGTTTCTCAAACCTGATGTAGAAGTAGTATTCAGTGTTACATTTATATATTTTGTAAGTATTTTATAAGTGGTGATTGTTTTTTTTTTACACATACAGAAAGTACAAAACATTATTTTTAAGTGAAATTTTAATTTCAGCACTTAAAAATCTGTGTGAGCATTTATATGACTACCTGTATCTGCACAAAATTTATTTAAATTTTATATAAAACTGCCTTCAGGGTATATGTATAAGCTGTGTTATGAAATGTAAAGGGATATTGGGTTTATGTTTGGGTTCCATTTCCAAGCTTCCCCATTTTATATATATATATATATATATATATATATAATATATATATATATATATATATATATATATAAAAACAAAAAACTGAAGCACTTCTGGACTCAAGAATTTTGGATAAAGGATTCTCAACCTGTATATAGTTGCTGCTTTTGCAATAAAAATTTTATCACATTACTTTTTTTTTTTTGTTAATTATCTAGGCATCTGACTGGATTTATTGCTCACAGTGGGTGGGAGTATCAGAATCTTTGACCAATTAATGACTAATTTTAAAATAATTAAATATCAAGAATCATGTTACTCTTTATCTATATTGTTGTTTCTTTTCTTTTTTTTTTGGTTTTTTGCTATTTCAAAAATAAGCTACCAAGAACTACTGATTTGTTAAACAAATTAACTTTCCAAAGATCTTTTTTCATCTGTACTCAGTTTCTGACTGTTCAGCTATTTTAATATTTTGGGTTTCAAAAGAACATTTTAATACTCCGAGTGATACTTTGGGTTGGTCAATGGCACCGAATGGAGTGAAAATTGATCACAGCACCAAATGTAATATAGCAGACAACAGAATCTTTGGCACCAATTTTCAATAATAAAAGGTAAAGCATGTCACTTTCTTCTTGTATCAAGTATGCGAAAATTCTAGTGAACTATATATGCATTGATCAGTTATTGTTATAAAGGTGATAATAGTAATAGCATGAGAAAAATATAACTCAGTGTTCTATGGTTAATATCAGTCCTTGTTATATCTTAACAGAGACAGGGGTTAGATAGGGCTTCCTTAAATGACTTATTCTGACTGCATAAAAAGATAGAAAGAAAAACCTGAAGCAACAAAATGTACCACTTCATAAGGATTTTCCTCTGCTTGAAGTTTGAAAATAGATTGTGTGCAGCACATATCTAAACTGGAGATGGATGAAAAGAAAGAGAAAAGACCCTCAAGCAGACTGCCTGAAATGTTAAGACAATTTAACTTCAAAAGACATTGTCATAGAAGTTGTATCCACTTACCGTTCAGAGGTTTTTACTCCAACTTTAGTTTTAGTAATTTGACCAGTGACTTGATCAATGTTATTGGAAATGGCATCCACACGACACTGAACTGCTTTCAGTTTGTTTCCACCAATGTCCATAATCTGTTTTTGCAATCTGGGGGTGAAAAGAAAAGCTTATAGATTTCAACTCTTACAGGGAATGAATAACTATACAGTTAAAATAAATGCCAAAAATTAAAATAAAAATTTAAGAAGTACGTACTGGTCAACTTCTTTCTTTATCTTTGAAGCTGCCGTTTCTTCTTTTTCATAAACTAGAAGTAAAGAAAATGAACCATTGAAAAGAAACAAAATAAAAATGCAATGAAGAAATTGTTCAAGAGAAGATTCACAAAAAGAAAATTACTTTATCTTTAACAAAGGATCATCTATTGAAATAAATGCAAATGTTCTAATATTGTTTCAATTTCCTCAAAGTAAGACATTTAGTCTAGTAGTTAAAATTAGTGTATTAACTAAGTAGATATCTACTAAATATAGCTAAGTCTGTGAGACCAAAATCAAGAGTAAGTAGAGGATAGAAAAATCAAGAGGAATGAGAAAACTTTGAAAATCAGTATTCAAAATCTTTACTTTTGAGTTTGATCACTGATGCTGGTGGGAAATAGTCAACTACCTATATAACTTTATGAATATAAAATCATGCTTTGGTCTAAAATTGTTATATCAACAAAACTGTTTCATTTAACTTAGTTACTAGGGTTAACAAGTAAATGAATCTACAGACGATGCCTAGTCAGAATGAGATTAACTTGATAGATTAATGTGAAAAGTCAGAGAGGTAATCTAGATAATTTGAATCTTACTAATATACCAGAAGTACCTTGGTGTCTGAGAAAAGGCCTAGAGGAAGTGAGATTTGAAGAGAAACTAAAGAAAACAAGAGTTTGCATGTATATTCAAGGTAAAAACAAAACAGAAGAAAATATTTGCTTAAAGAAAACAGAAGAGGCTCAAAATGTGCAGGTGACATTCCTTCACTGGCTACATCACATGCCATGAAAATTCAAAGATTAAAATGTTTGTCATAAGATAAGCATAAAAGTGCTTTCAGATAATATTTTCAAATGCTGAAAATGTTGGGAAAGGAAAGAGTGAAATGAGACAGATAAACTAAACAAAGAGCAAAATGGATGCAGGTGAAATTATAATCTGAACAGATCACAAATTTGTCAAGATCTAATTGGAGATAAAATTGGTGTAGAAGACCTACCTTAAAAGTTATAGTGAGGGCAATTCAACTATCAGAAAGACAAGAACATTTTAGAGGATTTAAGTAAGTGAAATTGGGAAAATGAGGGATTTAGGGTTTTTAATCAAAGCAGGTAATGAAGATTATTTTAAATGCTAACAGGAAATAGTGAACAAAATACATTAGTTTAATCAGAAAAACATAATATATAAATAGACATATCCCACACCAATAGCATGACTTGGAATTTCATGTACAATGCAATCTTCAGGTGCTGAGTATAGACTGAATGTTACGTAATCTAAATTTTAATAAAAATATCTGGTTATCACAATGAAATGGATTAAGTCCGACAATTATTTAATATATTTTCTGTTTCTACATTATTTTTTTAGAGATACAAATCCTTAAATTTTTAATTAAACAGTATTAATTACATTTACCAGCCTAAATGTTTGAGAAATTTCATAAAAAATATGCATTCTCCAACAAGAATCAAACTTGTATTCCTATATGGAAACTGTCATTTGATCTGACGTGCTATACCATTCAGCGTCTGGTTAGCAATGTCCAAATTACTGTTTATAAACAATCTTCAACAATTTTTCTTGATCGATCATATTTTCTCACAAAATATATATTAATGTAAACAATGATGATATATATATGGCCTTATGGTTGTAACGAATTCAACAAATTTTAAAATTGACAAAATTAGAAAGTTAATATATAGAGAGTTTAAAAACCTAAACTTAAAAGTTACTATTAATACAAATATAAAAAAAAGTAAACTTCCTCAATGTAACATTAGATTTAGTAAATAATATATACAAACCATATAAAAACAAATACAAATCCTTTATATATCCACCCAAAGTCAAATAATCCCCCATCTATTATAAAAACATACCATCATCCATAGAATATATAATCAGTAGAAATTCTGCAAATGAAGATGTATTTAATAAACATGCTTTAAAAAATAGTGAATACAAATACCCCAATATTAAATATGTAATGGATAATACCTACAACCTGAGTAAAAATAGAAAATCTTTTGGTACACACCCCTTTTAACCAAATGCTTAGCTGTAACTTAGGGCAAAAGTTTGCTTTGATTGAGAAACATTTTCTGAGAAATAATCCACTAAGCAAGATTTTCAATAAAATACACCAAAATTAAGCTATGGTTGTACTGATAATCTAAAAAAAAAAAAAAAAAAAAAAAAAAAAAAAAATTTAAATAAACATTTAAAACTAAATAAAAATAAGAGTAATTCCAAAAAAGAAATCAATAATTTCAATAATGAAGTATGTAATTGTAGAAACCTTATAAAGTGTCCATTGGAAAATAGATGCCTTAATGAATCTATTGTTTATCAATGCACTATTTCATCTACTGAAAACCCAGATATTAAACAATTTTATATTGGTAGCACAAAAAAAAAAAAAAAAAAAAAAACTTAAATTAAGATGGTACCACCACATTTCTTCCTTTAACAACAATGTACTGTAACTGAAGATCCCTCTCTAAATATTTTTGGTATTTAAAGAAATCACTAAACCGCCCCCACAGCAAAATGGAAAATATTAAAAAAAAAAAAAAAAAAAAAAAATGTAACTCCTTAAATGACTCATGCACCTTGTGTCTACATGAAATGCTATACATTAAGTTTCTTAAAAATAATGATCTATTAAATCATAGAAATGAGCTTACAGTCATATGTAGATTTTGTAAAATGTTCACCATAAAAATCAGTTAATGAATTTTCCTAAACTCTATGTATTACAATTATATATCCATTATTTTATTATATATTATGGCACATGTAATATTAATTTAATTTCTTGATTTTTAATTTTAAATTGCTTAGTGTTAAGACATAATGAATAAAATATGAATTGTATTTTGGTTCAAAAATATATAAAAATTTTGATTATACCAACTGTCCCTTTAAGATAATTCTAAAATTCTGCATCCCTCATCTCCATATTAACTCTTTAATGAGCCAATATAGTTTTCTATTTTCAAATGTAAATAATTTTCAAAGTTACTGAACATTGCTTGATGACGAGATGAAAACATTAAGTCTAGAAACATAGAATTTCCATGTCACAAAATATTTTTAATAAAAATATCATTAAAAAAATATTATGCTCTATGTTGTATTGAGCACTTTTTGAAAAAATAAATGCCAGAGAACTGTGGATTCTAAATCTGGTTTGTTCTTTCTCTTCATTTGGAGATTATGTACGTATGTATGTGAAAATATCTGTCACAGGTTTTCAATTAAAGGGACACAACTCTAACTTAAATATCTCCTCCACTTCAAATGAGACTTGTTCATCCAGGATTAAAATTGAATCTTCAGTTTGCAAATTTAGCTCTCTGTGAAATTGAAGACAAAGTGATGACTCAGCAATTTTGGTCTGCCAAATCCAGAGAAACTGAACAAATCAACAGAGAAATTTTGAGAGAAACAGTATACAACATGGAAGAACTGTGGCTCTATGTTCAAAACAATGAGCCCTTGTTGAACCAAGACCAACAGCAAGTGTATCAAAAGGTCCCTGATGACATCAGCAACAACAATAGAAGGATTTTGTTCTTGGATGCACCTGGAATTACTGGTAAAACTTTTCTAACTAATCTTTTATCTGCAGTGAGACTCAAAGTAAAAAGAAAAAAGTAGTTCTAGCAGTAGCATCATGTAGAATTGCTACTACTCACTTGTCCAGAGGTCATACAGCACCTTCAAACTTCCATTTGTTGGTTGGTTGGGTTTTATGGCATATCAACCACTGTAGGTCATTTAATGCCAAATTTAGTTAGATATATACATATTAAATATATAGTACTTACATATAGCGGGCAACATCATTTTTACAAAAACATATCGCGGGCAACATCATTTTTACAAAAATGTATCGCGGGCAACATCATTTTTTCAAAAATGTATCGCGGGCAACATCATTTTTTCAAAAATGTATCGCGGGCAACATCATTTTTTCAAAAATGTATCGCGGGCAACATCATTTTTTCAAAAATGTATCGCGGGCAACATCATTTTTTCAAAAATGTATCGCGGGCAACATCATTTTTTCAAAAATGTATCGCGGGCAACATCATTTTTTTTCAAAAATGTATCGCTGGGCAACATCATTTTTTTCAAAAATGTATCACGGGCAACATCATTTTTTTCAAAAAAATGTATCAAGGGCAAAAAAATGTATCATCATTTTTTCAAAAATGTATCGCGGGCAACATCATTTTTTCAAAAATGTATCGCGGGCAACATCATTTTTTCAAAAACGTTATCAGAGGCCTTGCTGTTGTACGTAGTTTATCGCCATACCCAGGACGCGGATGTAGTTTATTGCCATACCCAGGACGTAACTTCCATTGGATATGAACTGCAAGGAAACACCTATTTGCAACAGCAAAAAGGAACCAACTTGGCTAAGCTACTGGAGGAGACAAATGCCATTGTCTGGCATGAATGTACCATGGCATACAAGCAAGCCCTGGACAAAACTCTAAAAGACAGACAGAATTCACAAGTCATGGGAGGTATGACTGTGCTACTCTCCGGTGATTTTAGACAAACATTACCATTGCAGTTACATTGCAAGAGGAATTCCAGCTGATGAAATCAATGCTAGCCTGAAAAATTCTTACATCTGGAGCCATGTTCAAAGACTCAGCCTGAAAACAAACATGAGAGTTAGAATCACAGGTGAACTTGAAGCAGGAACATTTGCTACTTTGTTGTTGCAGCTTGACTAGGAAACCATCAAAATGGATGAAAATGAAGATATTTCACTCCCAAATGGCAGCGAAGTTTCAGTCTCAAATATCAAAGACTTGATTAACCATGTTTAATCTAATGTTTCATGGATTCAAACTGGCTTTGTGAGAGGGCCATATTAGCTCCCAAGAATCAAACTGTGGATAGCATTAACTGGACACTTCTCCAAGAAATTCCAAAAGAAAGCATCAGGTACTTTTCCATTGACACTGTAGTTGAACAAGAGCAGGCAGTGAATTATCCAATAAGATTCCTGAACTCATTGCATCCTCCTGGAATGACATCACACAAGCTGGAACTAAGAGAAAATGTGCCAGTTATGCTACTGAGAAATCTGAACCCTCCAAAGCTTTGTAATTGAACAAGGTTAATTGTCAAGAAGATGCTTTCTCATCTCTTGGAAGCAGAGATCCTTACTGGTCCAGGAAAGGAGGAAAGAGTTTTAATTCCAGGAATCCCCTTAATTCCTCCAGGTCTTCCTTTTAAATTCAAGACTTCAGTTTCCAGTGAGCAATGCCAATTTATAAGTCCCAAGGACAATCATTGAAAGTAACTGAACTTTATCTGATGGAATCCTGCTTTTCTCATGGCCAGCTCTACATTGGTTATTCAAGGGTTGGCAATGGAAACAAGCTATTTGTATTGACCCTGATGGGAGAGCCAAAAATCTTGTTTATCATGCAGCTTTGCAATAAGTTCCAAATAGACAAATCATATTATTGTTTTGATGTAAACTTAATTGTTTGGAAAATATTGGTCATGCTATCAATGAGGGACTATATATATATATATATATATATATATACACACACACAAAATAGAGATGGCATAATCATAAGTCATCATTCAGGTTAGAAAGCCTTAAAAATTGTACCAGACTAGCAAGCCATCTTTGAGAATTAAAAAAAAAAAAAAAATAAAGATCCAATTGTCATCTGGAAAATATTAAAACCCAAACTTTACAGCAATCATAGTGATATCTGCAAACTGTGCCAGGAGGAAAAATTAACAATAACATTTCCAGACCTAAAAATATCTATTGAATGAAAGATCGGAAATAATGTTGCAATGTTTACACACTAAAAGGTACTTCTTTGAGTCTGTATGATTTATTTACTCCCTCTCCAATACAATTTCAATACTCTTGCCTTATTCCTCCCCTTCTATTGCACTTCATGTTGTGCATTCATATATGAATAATAAAGCATTAGGAAATCATTCAGTCTGTATTGCCTGTGGATCCCGAAAGGTTGAAACCAATGTAGCATGATTGGCTGATCACCTAATATATATATATATATATATATATATATAGCCAAACTTTTCATATATAGTAAGTATTAAAAATTCACAAATGCCTGAAACTACTGATTTTTTGGGATTATCTTTTTTTTTTTTTTTAGCCAAATGTTCAACTACGTATACATGTATGAAGGCATGAAAAGATTATTACATAGTCAGTAAAAGGTTGACCTTTCTAATTTCTGAATGTTTTGCCACTAAGAAAAAAAAAAAAAATTTTTTTTTGCAATTCAAATATTCTGTAGGTGTTCAGCCTAGTGCAGAAATGAAAAATCTTTTTATTTTTTTATTCTAATGACATTTTAATCAGCTGAGCGATAGCAGACATGCAGAAAATTATTGTAGATAAACAGCAAATCTCAAAAAGAATTTAGATATGAAATACAATAAAGATGAAAAATGGTTGTTATGAAGTAGAATTTCCTTTGTATTTTGTTAATCTAGCAGTAGTCGTTTATCTTGCATATCAAAGGCTGGACTACCCTTACTGCTTGGGCATTTATATAGTCTATGCCTTAGCTATGCTAATTAGGCAGTTATTTATATATCCCTACAATGAGAAAGAATCCTAAGTTTCAGTAAGAAACTTAATTCTTATCCTTATGTTAATTGGTAGGCAAAGGTTTTTGCTCTCACTTATTACAAATAATAGATTCCTTACCTTTTTTATATTCATTTACTTTCTTCTGTAGGATTTCTAACTGCTTTTCATCTGGAGCCACAGATTTCACCTTCTCCTTTTGCTCTTCAATTTGTTTTGTCAACAGCTTTTCTTGTTCTTCCAATGTCTAACAAAATAATCATTACCCTTGTTCATTAATAAAGTTAGATGAAAGGATTTTTTTTTACGAAGTTCATCCCAACATCATTCTTGTTTTCTTTAATAATACAAGAATAATCTATTAATTAATATTAGGCTTATCTAACTCTCTAACATCCTACATCATGAGTGCATCATGCTCCAAATAGAAAAATATTAAAGCTTCACATACTTTAAGAGAGTAAAGGGGTTATAAATTCAAAACTGCAAGACTATTTGAGTCTTTCTTTCCATCCATTCTCTCACTGTAATTTTTCTTTTGTTATCTTACTGTTAACTTATTCACCTTTTTCTCAATTCTACCGTCATAAAGAAACAAACACACACACAAGGTGATGAAGGGTTTTGAACACAGCCAAGGAAATTTAAAGTAAACTATTTGGTCATATTTTGTGAAGTGAGATGAGAAATTTTCAGAAACCCTCATATATGTATGTGCATATACAAAGACAAGGTATTTGACAATTTTTAGCAGGTTATAAATGAAAGGAAATGTAATTTTCATTTCTCTTTTACATGATGTATTGAGAGCATTAATATGGCAGCTTCTAATCTGACAGAGGAAATGAAACAGGCATGCTGCACCCACAAGGAGCAAGCTATGCTACCCTACTTTTCCCTAAAGAATTTCAGGGTCCCATATCTCCCAACAAGACTGCCCATGCCCACATAACCCAGGAATACCTGGTTGAGAATTTCCCATAAATCCTGAAACATGGCAGTGGTGTATATATATATATATATATATATATATATATATATATATATATATATATATATATAGATGGATATATATATATAGGGGGTATGGAGAGGGAGAGAGAGAGAAAATAGGAGAGAGAGAGAAAAATAGGAGAGAGAGAGAAAAAAATAGGAAAGAGAGAGAGAGAGAGAAAAAATAGGAAAGAGAGAGAGAGAGAAAAAATAGGAAAGAGAGAGAGAGAGAGAAAAAAAATAAGAGAAGAGAGAGAGAAAGAGGAAAATAGAGAAGAGAGAGAAAAAAGAGAGAGAGAGAAAAATAGGAAAGAGAGAGAGAGAGAGAAAAAATAGGAAAGAGAGAGAGAGAGAGAAAAAATAGGAAAGAGAGAGAAAAAATAGGAAAGAGAGAGAGAGAGAAAAAATAGGAAAGAGAGAGAGAGAGAAAAAATAGGAAAGAGAGAGAGAGAGAAAAAATAGGAAAGAGAGAGAGAGAGAAAAAATAGGAAAGAGAGAGAGAGAGAAAAATAGGAAAGAGAGAGAGAGAGAAAAAATAGGAAAGAGAGAGAGAGAGAGAAAAAAAGGAAAGAAGAGAGAGAGAAAAAATAGGAAGAGAGAGAGAGAGAAAAAATAGGAAAGAGAAGAGAGAAAAATAGGAAAGAGAGAGAAAAAATAGGAAAGAGAGAAAAATAGGGAAAGAGAGAGAGAAAAAAAATAGGAGAGAGAGAAAAATAGGAAAGAGAGAGAGAAAAAAAAAAGGAAAGAGAGAGAAAAATAGGAAAGAGAGAAAAATAGGAAAGAGAGAGAGAGAGAAAAATAGGAAAGAGAGAGAGAGAAAAAATAGGAAAGAGAGAGAAAAAAAAATAGGAAAGAGAGAGAAAAAAAAATAGGAAAGAGAGAGAGAAAAAAAAAGAGAGAAAAAAATAGAGAGAGAGAGAGAAAAAATAGGAAAGAGAGAGAGAGGAAAGAGAGAGAAAAAATAGGAAGAGAGAGAGAGAGAAAAAAAAAGAGGAGAGAGAGAGAAAAAAATAGGAAAGAGAGAAAAAATAGGAAAGAGAGAAAAATAGGAAAGAAAAAAAATAGGGAAAGAGAGAAAAATAGGAAAGAGAGAGAAAAAATAGGAAAGAGAGAAAAAATAGGAAAAAGAGAGAGAAAAATAGGAAGAGAGAAAAAATAGGAAAGAGAGAGAAAAATAGGAAAGAGAGAGAAAAATAGGAAAGAGAGAGAAAAATAGGAAAGAGAGAGAGAGAGGGAAAGAGAGAGAAAAAATAGGAAAGAGAGAGAAAAAGAAAAATAGGAAAGAGAGAGAGAGAAAAAATAGGAAAGAGAGAGAGAAAAAAAATAGGAAAAAGAGAGAGAGAAAAAAATAGGAAAGAGAGAGAGAAAAAATAGGAAAAGAGAGAGAAAAAAAATAGGAAAGAGAGAGAAAAATAGGAAAGAGAGAGAGAGAAAAAAAATAGGAAAGAGAGAAAAAAAAAGGAAAGAGAGAGAGAAAAAAAATAGGAAAGAGAGAGAAAAAAAAAAAGGAAAGAGAGAGAAAAAAAATAGGAAAGAGAGAGAAAAAATAGGAAAGAGAGAGAAAAAATAGGAAAGAGAGAGAAAAAATAGGAAAGAGAGAGAAAAAATAGGAAAGAGAGAGAAAAAATAGGAAAGAGAGAGAAAAAATAGGAAAGAGAGAGAGAGAGAAAAAAATAGGAAAGAGAGAGAGAGAGAAAAAAATAGGAAAGAGAGAGAGAAAAAATAGGAAAGAGAGAGAGAAAAAAATAGGAAAGAGAGAGAGAGAAAAATAGGGAAAGAGAGAGAGAGAAAAAAATAGGAAAGAGAGAGAGAAAAAAAAATAGGAAAGAGAGAGAAAAAAAATAGGAAAGAGAGAGAGAGAGAAAAAAATAGGAAAGAGAGAGAGAAAAAAATAGGAAAGAGAGAGAGAGAAAAAAATAGGAAAGAGAGAGAGAGAGAAAAATAGGAAAGAGAGAGAGAAAAAAAAAGGAAAAGAGAGAGAAAATAGGAAAGAGAGAAAAAAATAGGAAAGAGAGAGAGAGAGAAAAAATAGGAAAGAGAGAGAGAGAGAAAAAATAATGGGGAAAGAGAGAGAGAGAAAAAAAAATAGGAAAGAGAGAGAGAGAAAAAATAATGAGGAAAGAGAGAGAGAGAAAAAAATAGGAAGAGAGAGAGAAAAAAATAGGAAAGAGAGAGAGAGAGAAAAAAATAGGAAAGAGAGAGAGAGAAAAAAATAGGAAAGAGAGAGAGAGAAAAAAATAGGAAAGAGAGAGAGAAAAATAGGAAAGAGAGAGAAAAAATAGGAAAGAGAGAGAAAAAATAGGAAAGAGAGAGAGAGAAAAAAATAGGAAAGAGAGAGAAAAAAAATAGAAAGAGAGAGAAAAAAAAAAAGAGGAAAGAGAAAAATAGAGAGAGAGAGAAAAAATAGGAAAGAGAGAAAAAATAGGAAAGAGAGAAAAATAGGAAAGAGAGAGAAAAATAGGAAAGAGAGAGAAAAATAGGAAAGAGAGAGGAAAGAGAGAGAAAAAAAAAGGAAAAAGAGAGAGAGAGAAAAAATAGGAAAGAGAGAGAGAAAAAAAATAGGAAAGAGAGAGAGAGAGAAAAATAGGAAAGAGAGAGAGAGAGAAAAATAGGAAAGAGAGAGAGAGAAAAAATAGGAAAGAGATATCAACTCTAGCACCACAAAGTAAGAGACTTGTTAAAAGCCACAATTGTAGATCAGATGGCTAACATGAGAACCACCCAATCTAAGCATGTAATCATTTTCAAAGTCATCCTTGTAATAATTCTCCCAAACCCTCTGTTTTTATTTATTAAATATTATTTTTCAATAATTTTTTTCTCAATTGGTAAACTGTATGTATGTATCTCACACACACAAGTCTCAGTCCATATGTAAATAGTCTCAATTCTTTACAGATATTTTGCTAGTAAAAAAATAATTTTGAGAAAACAAACTGAACACAGGATACATAAATTGTACTCATTTCAACAGAATAATCAGAAAAATATTCAAGGCTAAAACAAAAAGCTCTTATCTTTTCATTGTGGATTTTAATTATTATTTTGGAAACAAGGTTTGTTTTCTAAGCAATCAAATGATTATACAATGTGATATTAAGCTGGTTTTCATTAGTCTTAACATTTTTGTTGTTATTTTTTAAAAAGATGACATTGAAATCAATGTTTTACTTTAATATATTGATTCTGCAATTCAAAATTTCAATTCTACATTTTAGGCAAATAAAAAGCTGTCAACTTATTGTTTTTGCATTTTATACAGACATAAATTTAATCCGAGTTAAAATGGCACTAAAAGTGCAAGAAATGTAAATTTTTTAAAAAGGAATGTAAGTTGTGACTCCAATTTAGAAAATAATGAGCAGTCAACCAGAATTAATGAAGTCTATGTTGATAAAATAATTTCAGAGATTAAGGTCTTAAAATTCTCCCAAAGAGAAATTGAGAACAAAAACTCAAGAAACAGATTCCATCTGAACTGATTGATGAACTTACTTTGGCTTCCATACTATACTTTTCAAAAACCATCTTGCTCAGCTTAAACGAGTCCTCCAGTTCCTGAACAGTAGCCATTAATTTTGATTTCTTTTGTCGGCAACTGACCAGTTCCTCTGTGTACTGCCAAGAGAATTAAAAACATAATACTGACATAACTGAAATTGATATTGAAATATACACCACATTAGTAGTATTACCAATTCAAAAAAATACCTAGCATTTTGTTTCCTAGTTATTTCCCAAACTATAATTATATGTTCAAAGTTAACATTAATAAAGAAAAAATCCTCATGATGTACATACCAAAGGAACATTTTTAGACAGTGTTTTCTTTTGTTCAGCAATCATGTTTCATGTCATATCAAGATATACCTTCATATTTATTAGACAGTTCTATTTTGTTATTCTTTTGTATATTATATAACAATATAGCTTGTATATCCCGATTTAGGAGTGACATTTTTTTCTTTTTGTATGAAGAAGGTATAGTTTGTCTTTTGGCATATACAGACAACTTAAGTTGTGTGTAATGAAATTTGGAAAAGTAAAATTACTAGCACCTTTAGGATTAATTTCCTTAATAAAATAAATATTTGGAAATGGTATAAATTTTTGTTCAAGAGATACTAGGAAAACCTTATATTAAGTAATTCTGCTAAATATTTTTGTCACTTCTATGATACAATAAGTAATTAGGCAGATGATGCAACTGGCATCAACTGTAGAAAGCTCACCTTATCACAATTACATGTAATATCATGTCTACTATTTATACTTTATCAAAGAGCCATTTGTGCAATCTTAATTTTGCAAAAATCAATTAAAAAAAAAAAAAAAAAACCCTTTGGAAAGAACTTCAGAGAAAATGTTTAAACTTTTCTCATTGTCAATTCATAAATGTTTTAATTTTCAAACAAAATGTATGTCACACATTCTAACCTTATAATGCACAATCAAAATCAGAGCAAAAGCTTTTCAAACTATTTACTACATAGGTAAAATCAGAAGCAAAATATTATCACCACTTTGCTATACCTCTTTCCCCTAAAATTGTTCTTTATATATATATATATATATATAAAATAAATTCAAAAATTTAAATATGATGATAAAAAAAAAAAAAAAAACACGTTTGTGAATTCCTCAAATTCACAAATACATGTCTGTTTGTTAATGAAATTTATATGAAGCAATCCTTCACCTTCTCCAACTCTTTTTCACATTTTTCAAGTTCTTTGGGATTAACTTCTTCCAATACTGAAGATCCCATGCGACCCTTAGATACAGTATTGCCTCCACCACTCATTGTACCTGAAGAAGAAAAAAAAACATCATTTTAACAAGACACATCAATGAGAAAGAGTTAACAAGATATTCATTAAGGATGATGGCAGTGGGAGATGAGAAATTAATAGGTCCACTCACCTGAAGTGTCAATTAAAGCTCCTTGTAAAGTGACCACTCTGTAACGTGTCTTCCCATAAGCAATACGTGTAGCTTGGTCAAGGTCTTTGGCCACCAATGTGTCTCGAAGAGCAAAATAGAAAGCTGGAGTTATGGCATCATCTTTGACTTTAACCAGATCAAAAAGACGAGGAACATTTTCAGGGCTATAACATAAAATACATCTCATAAGTTTAGATCATTGTAAATTCTGACTATTATCACACCTTTCAAACTTGTGTTGTGTGAAGTTTAAATTTACTTGATAATTCTAAAAACTGATTCTTCAATCACAATAATTGTGATTAACAAAATGCTGTATAAGAATATTTAACTACTAGAACAAATTTTTATCTTCTGAATAATTTTGTTAAAACAAAAAATAAAATAAAATAAAGTAATACTTTAGTTTTGTTTATTTAAATTATCTGAAAAAAACCTGTATTCCATCAAATAATTTCCAAGGTTAACTGTGTAATAAAAACATTACATTATGTATAAAAAAACATGGAACAAAACATTATTTTAATAAAAAGTTGCAACAATTTTGCTAACTACATGTTTGACAAATATCATTGATAGGTGTTTTTGATTTTTTTTAAATCTCTAGTTACATTTTAAATAATTCTTACGTAGTTATTTTCCTATTGCAGTAATTTTTCCATTTCTCCATCTTGTCTAATCCAATAAACGTAGAAGAACCAAGTTTATGTGTTTTGAGGAAGTCAACACATTTCATAGCTGTGGAGATTTTATCAACCACAATGTTGTCAAGGGCACCACATGCAGTCGAGATGGCAATGTCATATTTATCATCAATGGCTCCAAGATCACCCTGGTCACACAAATAATAGATAAAATTGCATTAGTTAAATCATAAAAGTATATGGATTTTTATGAGGAAAATCAAAAAATATTTTTAAGCATACCCAAAGTTAACATTTATAAAGTACAATTAACTTAAAGAATATTTGAATTGAAAAGTGACTCTGAATCAAGTACAAAAATTTATTATGGAAAAAAAAAAAAGAAGCTTCACATTATATATATATATATATATATATATATATATAATAAAATGTATACAAATATATTAAAGAGGAAGGACAAATAAATGAAAAAAATTACCATAAAGTGGTAAATTGAAACACACACATAAATCTAAACAGTTATCACCCTTCAGAGATTAAGGAGAATCACGCAATTAAAATCAATGGGGAAAATAATTATAATAGAATCAACACTGAATTCCAGACGGATTATATTAAGACCCAGCAACCATTCCTTCTGCTTAAAGGAGTAGTTGTTTAGATTTAATATAGAGGGTTTTGAGTACTTTCAAATCGTAGTCTAAACGTGCTCTGAGAAAAAATCTCTGGCTAAAAACAAGGTATAAATCAGATTAAAATTAGATTCATAATTTGAAATAGCTATGTATATATATACAAGGTATACAGTAAGCTTTTTCTTTTTAAATGAACCATTATTATAATTAACCTCCAAAACCTCTTCAGTTATGAACACTACAGTTTCTCTTGCGAATAATTTACAAACGACAGAAAATTAATAGTAAAATAAAACAGCCGACTGATGAAGATGAAATATTTAAAATCAGGAAAATGTCAATTTAGAGTTTTAAACTGTTGTCAAAATTTCCTAGATTTTAAATATTAAAAATGAAAGTAATAGGAAAATATATTAGGGAATGTATGTAATGACTGCAGCTATTTCTACAATATATAATCATAGTAATCCTCAAATGATATATGTAGCAAAAAAGACAGTAGGGGGTGTACATTTTTGTCTGCACACTATAATACTCAAGATACTGAAAATAGTTTTACAAGTACAGTATTATTAATTTCTTATTAAAAGAAAAGTAATAAACATTTTATACAAACTTAAAGGACTCAATCCATAAGAACTGAGTGACTTGATAATTTCTTTTCATAAAGATATTTTATATTTGTTTCTTGCTTGTTTAATAAAATGTGACAGACTTACCAATCTACCATAAATTCCTGGCAGTTTACCATTTCTTTTTTGCACCATTAATGAATCAAAAAGTTTTCCTTTGCTTTTGGCTGCTTGCTGTGACATTTTCAATTCTTCAACCTTCAGACGTGCACTTTTCATCTGAATAAAAATAAATAAAAAATCAATACATTTCCAGAAAAACCTTTAGCAGTTTTATAAAAGAAATCCTTCCATGATTTCATATTAACAATTAAAATAAGTCTCCAATTTTATTGCCAAAAAATAATACTTTAAAGCAAAAAGCATCTACTTCAGTGACCATTATTTTTATAATGCTTATTCTGTAGATATTTTGTAGTAAAGAGCAATCTCAAGATATCAATTGTAGAGCAACAAATGGATAAACAATCTGGCAGAGTGTCTATATGGAGCTTTATTTGCTAGTTAATATTACAATAAATTCATACAAATGTGTGACACTATGTAACACTGACAAATGAAAAGAAAGGGGTTAAATCAAAAACATAGCCAAAAACGAGATGAGAAGGGTTAATGAATAGAACGATGGACAGAATGAGAGAAGAAAAAGGGATTTCTTCTTTCCAAAATCTCTTTCTTTTTAGGGCAGAGATGCTTTGAAGGAAAGTGATTCTGTTACAAGATATTACCACAAAAGCCATACGGCAATATTTACCTGACAGCTGATTAATGAGGCAGCTCAGAAAGCACTGGTTACAAAAACACAATATAAGCTGAATAGATTAAATTTGATCTGTAATCAAATCAAGGGAACAGAATTTCTTTGTGTAACCTAGTGTGCTTGGAGTGCAATGACTCTCATGGGATTGGGGAGTGCGTGACTCACCAGAGGAAGCAGCTGGTAAATTTCACCTACACAAAATTTAAAATGATAATTTTAATTAATGACCATAAGCTAACCCATGCCACATGGTTTGTGAGCCAGATTGCCCACAGGTGACAAGTTCAAGTGAAATATCAAGGAAGACGGAGGAATTGTTTATGCTCATTGGAAAGTGTTAGAGCTAATCACAAGAGAAGGAAGGATTTGGGCAGATCGATAACCTGTGACTGCTACCCATCAGAAAAGTGGTCTCTCCAAATTTGGAGGTGTAATTAATTATCCAGAGCCAGACAACAAAGCCCTTGCCATAGATAGGGAAACCACCAAGTCCCCATATCCACATCAACTCCCATGCCAGTTTTGGGCGGAAGTCAATATAAGCAGAATACCGAGATGACCAAGACACAGAGGAGAAGAGGTTCCAGGCCACAGACAATGACCCTGCCAAGTCCTACGTGACTTATTGCCAGAGAGAACTTCCAACTCAAGCTTTGTTCCAGACTTAGCCAAGGTGAGCATAGTGTCACAATAAAAAAAAATGTGGGTAGGGTTTTGTACCAATTCATTGTATAAAAACAGTATATAAATTTTCATAGAACTAGACCCTGAAGTTCTTTAACAGTAAGGACATTTTTTTGTATTAAGTATCTTTGTGACATAACTTTGCTGGGAACGAACCTACATCACAATTTCTGACAACAATTTGATCTTTGCCAGCCCTGTGTTCAAACAACACAGTGTGGGCAGAGCAATGTTTTAGACCAGAGTTACCAACCCAATGGCAGCATCTGACCAAAGTTCGAACAGAACAGTGTTATAAATGATTATAACATTTATTATATTGAAATCTGAACTGTTTCAGTGACTGTGCTTGAGTGTTGGGGAAAATCAGTGATTACTATCAATGGTTTTATTTTTTATCTTTCATTTAATCTTTGTATACATTTGGTGAGTGAGTCTCAATCAGGAATAGATAAGATTTGTTTTTCTTTTTAACTACAAACAACATTCTACAAATGCTACTCTAACGTCCTATCAATCTAAAAAAAAAAAAAAAAAAAAAAAAAAACCTTTCATTTTAACTTCACTATTCCCAAGATTTTAAAGGTAATTAGACATCAATTGTTGAAGTATCAATGCAGTAGTTGTATATGCAATTTACCTCATTGTTTGCTTTTTCTTCCATGGCTGTAACTGATTCCAATTCTTTCTTTGATTTTTCCAGATTTAGTTTTGTTGCAGGAATCTTCTTCTCCAAATCTACTAATTGACTGAAAAGATAAGAAACAAGACAAACATCCTAAATATAAGTCAGTCACTGAAAGATAAAAAAAAAATAACATCCTAAACAAAAACAAGTCACTGGTATATAAAAACAAACATAAATTTGAACATAATTCAAAGTAGGAATCAGTGGCTATAAAGTGAGCTAAAAAAAAAAAAAAATCATTAAACGAGAGATGACCAATGAGTCTTCTACAAATACTATTTTGCATCTTGTTTACTCATTAAATATTTCTTAGAAATTAATATTTGCTCACTTGTTAAGCAAATGATTGAGTTTAGAACTTCATATCAAGGCAAAAGTAGTAGTTTTAAAAAATCTCTAACAACATAGTTACAAGTCAAAATATCAGCCAAAGTTCCATCTCCTATGCTCCAAAGAACACCTCCACACAAATAGGGAAAGGTAGAAATTAATACTCACGCCTGTCGTTCCTTCAGTGTTGCAGTTGTTTTGTTCAGGTTTCTCGTCATCTCATTGAGCTTTGATTGTTCATTCTGTTGGTTGCTCAGATAAATATCAAGTTCAGATTGGGCTACATTGTACTGTGGAAAAAAAAAAAAAAAAGACAAACAATGGCACCATGCTTATATATATATGATAGATAGAGACATTGAAGTCAACACCCAGTGACCTGGGTGTTGACTTCAATGTTCACTTTTATATTTACATATGTTCTACCCTTATATTATTGAGCACATTAAACCATACATATAATACACCTTAAAACTATATTTTATCATGCACACACACACACACATATATATAAAATGCTGCAGGGCATCCTGACCCATGAGCTACATGTCACCAGTGTGTGATTGAATCCTGCAGCTAACCGAATTTGGTCACCTCAATCCAAGCCTCTCTCTTTCCCATGCTGGGTTTGTTTTGATCACAAGGCAAGCAAGGATCGAATTGTTGCCAGATATCGCTGATTGATGTCATTCAGGCAGGACAATCTTATAAAAAAAAAAAAAAAAAATCTACAAGGTTTATATAACTGAGGTTTATGCAGGAACACTTTTTCATATAAGAATCTACAAGCATACAGGCTATGTAGTCCAATTTCATGGCACTTTGTACTTCATTCCCAAATCAAGGTTTTAAACTTTTAAGTCAGATATTTCTTCAGGCAGCAAATTACGGAATGCTGACAAAGCACTTATCTCCAGCTTTCTCTTTCTGTCGTTATATAAAGACTTTCAATTCTTCCACTTTGCAATTTCATCAGGGCACTCTGCTCAATTTATCTAATAGTCTGGATACAAGGCATAAGTCCAGAGTTCTTTGTGGCAGCAAATCACATGGCATAATGAAAGCTGCTCTCTGTCTTTCTTTTCATTTCTTGCACTTGGGATCTCTGCATGGCTATTATGGAGTCCAACCTCCAAAAACCGGGTTGGAGTTGGCTTGTTCTGGGATGCCTCTGAATCTCCTGTCACCCAATCAAATCTCTCCTTGTATGTCCAGTACGGGGAGCTCCCCCTGTAGGAGTGGCATTAGCAACACATTGATCTGCTATTTTGTTCTCCTCACTTCTCTTGCTCGCACCTCACACCAGTACCTTTCAGTAGGTTTATTCATTTTCCTCCCACTTCCTCATATCAGCTTCTCACACTGCCACCATCCAAGGAATAGGCGCTCCACCTGACCATCGAGTGCACAATGCAAAACAGATGTTATTTTTAATGTAACGGTAAAATTATCTGCATTCCTTAATTCCTAATTATCACATTTGGTCTGTATCTCTTCCTCACTTGACCAAAATTTTCCATCCTAAGAAAATCTTGTTCCTTTAACGACACGCACAGCCTCCACCTCTATCAACAAATAACATAGAATCTTTTCTCTACCCTTTTCATCACCCACCTGTAGCCATAAAATTATTATCTGTAACTAGCCTGGTGGTCTCTGTCCAAAATGGTACTCCCCTCAGGTTGTCTCCTGGGCTTTACTTTGCCCCAGTGGATCAGCACTATCTTCTAGTGAAGTCTTTATTCATGAAATGAGAAACAAAATAAATGTATATTTTCTTTTGTTTCCAGTATGTCCTACAATCTACTACCTTCTTCATGTTCACAAAATAAAAAAAACAAGAGTAAAGAGTATATTTTCTCGTTTCCAGTATGGCTTTCAATCTATCTACGTTTTTTTGCCTTGTGTTCATTTTGATTTAATTTAATCCTATTTTTTTTCTCTTCAAATTATCAGCATTCTTACAGAGTACCACATGCACATATATATATATATATATATACGAGAGAGAGAGAGACACCCCCATCCCCAGTATAGGATTGGTGTATACGGAATAAATTCCAATAACAAAAAAAAATACTATTCTTAAAGGAGTGCTCAATACAGAGTAGAGGAACACCAATTGATAAGACACCAGAAGTGTTGAAACAAAAATGGCTATTTTTGAAGTGATTTTATAACATATTTATATTATAATTTTTTATAATTTTATGGTACTAAACATGTTTGGGGATAAACAACTTTAACATTTACCAGAAATCATTTTTTCTGGCTAAATTTTTCTTTCATAGAATTATATATATATATATATATATATATATATATATATATTTCTATGAAAGAAAAATTTAGCCAGAAAATGAAAAATGATAGCTATTTAGCGAGACTCTTCGCAGATGTGAATTGAGTCAGTCGGTCACTGGGCGGGTTTGTAAAAATAAATACGCTAAAAAATTCACTTTCATCCCTACCGTGCGCTGATGGCTTAAATGGTTAGAATCTCCAACTGACACCAATTCAGTCAGGTTTCGATCTTGGCTAGCGGCAACCGGATGTCTAGCCACACTGATGAGCTGTGAAACAGCGAAACAGTCTGTCTGTGGATGACGTTATATATATATATAATTGGGCCGCCTGGTAGCCAGTAATGCTTGTGTGTTAAAATTCCCTTTCTTCCTAGCATGTGCTGATGGTCTAGAAGTGAGAGTCTCTGTCTGATGTTAGATTGGTCGGGTTTCAATCCTGGCTTGAAACAATTGCATATCTAGCCAGACTGATCAGCTGTGATACAGCGAAACTGTGGATGACTATATATATATATATATATATATATATATTCTCCAAAGAAAAGTAATCCCATATATCACAGAAAATTTTAAAATCTTAGTTACATGTAATAATAACTTTAATTTTGGGAAATGTTACAAGTAACAGACACTGAAAAAAATAAAAATCTGTTATAAAAACCAAATAAGTTTTTCAGACATCTCATTTATTAACAATAGTTTTATTAAAGTATCTTTTTACATAATTAAATTCTATAGACTGATTTGGAAACTTCAAGGGAATAAATAATCTGTGTCTATACTACAAATTCAACTTTAATTAACAAAGCATTATTATTAAAAGCCATGAATTTATTTTCACAACTTTCACACAAGCTTTTAAACCCATTTTAAAAACAGTACAGGTAACATATCAGTGTTGAAAGTAAGACTCACAAGCAGAGTTCAAATCAAAGCCAATTTTGTTACATTCAATTTCACAAAAATACCTTTGAGAAATCCATTCCTTCTCTCACCTGTGCTGTGTGTTAAATAACAGGTGACACTGGGCTTTCTAGCCTTGGGTGGTAGCCAGTCTAGGACTACTCTGAATTTAAAACTGCAGAGAAGACAACAAGTAACCACTATCTTCACAAGAAGTTGTGGCAATTCACAGATAATAAAAAGGGAATATGTGAAAAGACATGATCACCTACATTCTGAATGGAATGGCATTATAAAAAAGAGGAAAACACAGTTAATGTTTTAAAGAACACTGCACAAAAACTCATTGAAATTTAACATTAAAACATACCTGAGATTTAGTTTCATTAACTGTTTTTTGCATGGCCAATAGTTTTTCTTCTTGTTTGACCTTTTCTTCTTGAAGATCCTGAAAAAGAACAAACGAAACAGAATTCAGATAAAAATTTGCTGTAGAAAGTTACTCTCTCTCATAAAAATAAATCTAGATGGGGATTTCAAACTTGCACCTACAGTCTATATTTTATCTGTTTGTGGGTACAAAATACATTGTCTTTTTTTTTTTTTTTTTATATAGACATGCTAAAAAACACTGCTGCCTTTTATAATTTTAGCCACAGTCATCAGGGCATAAGCCCTCATTTTTAGTGCAATAGAAACATGCTGTCTGCGATACAGATTCCCAAATAACCAAGCTAAAATAAATTGTTCAGTGCCTGAAGGTAGCAGTGAAGGATAGAGAGTGAGAATAGTTTTTAGTCAGTAAAAAATAACAGGCAAATAAAAAGCGCATTCAAATGTACAAAAGTGTTTGATGTGCACACCAATATATACTCAAATGCACAACCAACATATCTTTCTCTTAGTTACAGTGACACTGCATTCAAAATAGTAAAAGTATCAAACTATAGTTTTTGTTTTCCCTAATAAAAATGATTTAATAGCATTTTTTATGAGATAATCTGCAAAATCACCCTACTTTGCCTTCATATTCTTTTATCAACTTTGATTTAACATACAAAATATCATAAGAGTATGTTTCTGACAGTTGTCAGACTAAAATAAAGGAATCAGCTTGGTTCCAGGTTAGAAAAAATTCTTTATCCTTTCTAAACAAAAGAGACACTTTATCCTTTCATTATGAAATCCTAAATAAAATTCCTGGATGAGAGACTGAGGGCAAAAACCTCACCTTAGTTTCCGTTTTCAAACTCTCAATAACTTCTTGCAGTTTTTTCTCTTCTTCCTTCTTTTTTACTTCAAGAGTTTCCAGCTTTTTGTTGGCATCTTCAATCACTTTCTCTGCCTGTGCTGGGATGGATTTCAGTTCTTCAATCTAGAAAAGGAGGAAACAAAGTTTCTCACTAAATTTACATTCCTTGGAAAACACACAAGCTAAACTTGAACTATTTAGCAAATTTTAAGTAATACAAGTGAAAAGAAATACTCTTAAAATCCAAGATCCATTCACTGTATGCATTCATTTTCTTTCTTTTTTTCCTTTAAAAAAAACTTTTTCTTTGGAAGTTGAAGTCAAAAATTGCTGTGGACATGGCTTGTTTTTTTAAAGGCACCTCAGCATTGAATACAGGCACCGTGGCATTTTGCCGTGGTGTAGCAGTCTAAATCACACACACACATATATATATATATATATATATATATGTATGTATATGTATATTTGTAACAACTCATTATTATCTTAATAGAATAAAAGTAAATGCAAGGAATTTAATTTAATTTTTCTAGTCTTTTTTTATTACAAATATTATAAAGTCTCCCAATTTTAATCATTTTTTTTTTTTTTTTTTTGGCTATGTTCAATTTTTAATAGATTTCTCTTCAATTGTTTTTACACAGCAAAATTTACTTAAAAATGTTATTTATTACATATAGTTATTTCAATATTTGTCTCTACAATATTGTTAATCATAAAAACTATATTAATGATAAAATTTAAATTTTTATGAGTAATTTGTTTTTCTTTCTAAAAGGTATTTTAAATTTTTGTTTACTGGTAAAAAACAAAATGGGAACAAACATATTTTATACTAAAAAATTAAAAATCACTTATTAATGACGTTATAAGTTAATGTCATAATTCAATATATCTAATCCAATATTTTTAGATATTGCAAACGAAGTGTACCCCAACCCTGCTGCTAGCCATGCATTTTTAAGTGCCAATTTTTTCTCTCCCACAATCATAAAATAGTATATTTATAACAAAATAAGTCAACAATAATTACTTTATTTCTAAACAATAAGATAAAAAAATAGTTACTTTTATTTTTATTTTGTTTCAAGTCATTTTTTGCAGAATAAATAGTTCTGATATAATTTTGTTTAATTAAAAGTTTTAATGTAGATAATTAATTCAAAGCTGAGAATGCATATAACATTGTTAACGGGATGGAAGTGATGAAACCAAAGCTCTACCAAATTATATATTAATTGTAATAAAACCTTAGTAAAGAAAAAATATACAAGAGGATTAACTTTTCAAACCAAATTAATTATCTCTTAATTTCTACTTTTTTCTTTGAATGTCTATAGCAAACAGAAACTAAAAATTTTCACTCCCAGCAGAACAAGATTTGAGATAGGAAAGATATATGATAACATGCTGAAGATAAATACATACCAAAAAATAACCAAGTTTCAAATATTATCAGTCTTCAGGACTATTAGTAATATTTGTTCCTCAGTTATCAACAAAAGTTTTTTTTTTAAAAAAAAAATCCAATATTCCTTACATGTTTTTTTTCCTGTTCAATGGTTTTCTGTAATTTATTATCTTTGTTTTTTACGTGCTTAAGATCCTCTCTACATTTCACATCCTTACTTTCAAGCTCTCTGAATCTCTCTTTCAAGTCATCACTCTTTTTGACAAGTGACTCATATTCCCTAAAAAGTAAAAAAATAAAACAGTATGAATATTCTTGAGAGACCATATATATATATATATATTATATATATATATATATGTTATTAAAGTGCATATAAAACAAATTTTATTTAAAAAGTGATACAAAGATGTATGAAAATATTATAATTGTATTTTTCTTAACTTACTGATAAAATAACATGTTCAAAAATAGGAAAATATTTGCAAAATATCAGGTAACATGTTAATTGTACTGACACTTTACATAAGATACACAATTATTATTTGCTTGTATATAAAAAATATTAAGTGTTGAATCCTACTTGAATGATTTGTTATAGTCCTTTGTCTTTGCTGTTTTCTCATCGACAACCTCTTTTAGTTTCTTGCCTTCCTCATTCAGTTTATCCTGATATTCTTTCAACTCTGCAGATGCCTTAGATTCATTGTTAACACAAACAGCCCTAGAACAGAATAATATTCAAAAACATTTTTAGACCAAACTTTAAAAATTAAATCAAATTTGTTTATTTTTATTAAATTATTCTTGTATGTGTAAAGTGTTTTCTTCTTTGAACTTAATGAATATCCAAAGTGTTTGCAAGTGCTTTCAGCTAAACTATTAGCCATTTTCAAGGATTATTTTTGTTATATTATTATGGTATATAAGTGCTATTGTACATGAAATAAAGGTTGTTCAAAGTAGACATATTTTTAATTTCCAAATACAGCCAGTACATTGTGGCTGTGTTCATAATTGATGCTTTTAAAGGTTGGTTTCTTGTTTTTATAAGGGCTTCAATCACTTTTATTTACTAGAGTCATATAACAAAAATCCTTGAAAATGTCTAATGATTCAGTAGAAACCACTCAAACTTTTTTAGACAAGAAAACGCTTGTACACAGTACTTTTTCAGTCTTGTTCAATGAAACACACAGCTTGCGTGTGTATATATATATATATATATATATATATATATATATATATATATATATATAGAGAGAGAGAGAGAGAAAAAAAAAAAATTCATAGCAAAAAATCATGTTAAAATTACAGTCCTGAAAACTTGGGAATCCAAAATTTCAGGTCAGGATCAAGCCCTGAATATTTTTAATCTGCTCATAGAGCTGAGACGATTCCAAAATGGTATATGTTGAGCTACAGCCTCTAGGAGTAAAGTTGAAAAGTGTGACACAGTGAGACACTGATATTCGCATTTATTATATAGATGTAAATAGCTTTAATTCTTATTTAATAAAAATTATTAGGTCTTTATGCACAGCTGTTTTTGCTGTAGTGTGAATAAGTACTATTTTCAGTATATAAAATTTGGTTAAAAAAAACAAAACAAGCGTAAACAAAATTATAATTTAGATTTTACAAGACAAATATGCAATCCATTTCAAAAAGTAACAACTAGATTACATAATACCATATAATAAAATTAGTTTTTTTTTTATTATTATTTTAGTCTGAATTAAAATAGAAAAATATATTGAGTACAAATATTGTTTAATGGTTCACTATCCAGTTAACCATAAATGCTTGCTATTCAATAAAGCCAACAACACTTACATGTATCCTTGATATAGTTTGTTATTCAAAAGTGTGATACTGTTCTCAGTGCTCAAAAACTCTTCAGCCTCATTCTTTGCTCCTTCTAAATCATCCTTCTCCTTCTCTACAGCTTTTACACGGTTCAGCTGTAAGCAAAGTGTTGAGAGAAAATTATTTTTTAAAAATTTGCTTCATACTTTTTAAACTAGTTTTATTCATATGCATTTTGGTATTGTAAAGAACAAATAAGAAAATGCGTCAAGATAATCATTAATGCAGAAAATAAGAGAAAAATGTACTTTATAACAGTTATCTTTCAGTCTGTACAATTGAACAATATTTACTCAAAGGTGTGTGTGTGTGTTGGGGGGGGGGTCGACATCAGGTTAGATAAACTATAAATTCCGAAAAACAAAAAAGAAAATCATCGTAGCTCTTAGAATTCATCAAATCCTTTTTTATGTTCTTTATGTGCTTAGCCTATCAAAATCTTTCTCAAATTTTATGAAGTATTCCAAATTTGTGAAGCACAAAATTAGTAGGATGGTCAGGTATGAATAGAAAGAAGCAACTATGAATAAAAAGGAAGAATAAGAACATCTGATATTATGACCTGTTGATTCAGGGCATTCATCTTTAGTGCTTTTGTAGCAAAAGTGAGGAATGAATTCATGATCTCTAGTTTACATTACTGTGCACCATTGCACTCAGCAAACATTTAGTAACAATAGTTAAATAAGCAGAAAGGACTGTTTGATTCTAGGTTAAAATACTAGTTCATATACATATACAATGCATATATTCACATATGAATGATAATGAAATCTGTCTATATTTCTGAGATGAGGTATTGTAATTATGGAGATGCTGACTTTCTGTACACAAATACTTCAGAATGGGATCATATATCGACAGGATGAAGGCTTCGTAATGGGCTTGCCATTATCACCAGCAATGACAAACATATACATGGAATACTTTGAAGAAATGACA